GACAGCTCTCTCTCTCTCTCTCTCTCTCTCTCTCTCTCTCTCTCTCTCTCTCTCTCTCTCTCTCTCTCTCTCTCTCTCTCTCTCTCTTTCTCTCTTTTTATCCATAGGATGAGCAAAATGGGAATGAATCTGTCGGTAGAACAAGGAAATATATGCTACCACATTTCCGGCCTTTGGCAGTGTATACTTCCATGTTGGCAGTGGATACTTCCATGTTCTAGGGAGAGACACATACACGAAACATATTGTAATGAACCCAGTCTGGAGGAAACTCGTCAAGTGTCGAAGTACAAGATAACTCAGCGCTGAATAATGTTTCCAATAAGCATGAAATGTGATCCGTGATACAATGTCTCGTATCTAATTGACGAAGGAGAGGGGGAGAATAGAGGGCGGAAGAGTAAGTGTCCATCAATGACCACATAGAAAGCAGCCCCTCGTTTCCCATTCCTTCTCCGGGCTTCCCCTCGCCTCCACGTCAGCAAACAGTGTCCAAGAAAGAGCCTGACAGGGTCTGATCACATCAGAGTGCCACGTGACACAGTTCTCCCGTGAAGACGTTACAACAGCGTGCAATGTCGACAGCAACAACAGGTAAGTATCCTCTCTCTCTCTCTCAATCAATCCACAGATCCCGATCTCCCTCCTCGTCGCGTCCAGCTCAGCAACAAAGACAGTGTGGCATGCGCCACGTCAGCAGTGTCGAAGACAGCATGCCTTGCGCCAGCAATGTAGACAGTGTGGCATGCGCCACGTCAGCAATGTAGACAATGTGGCATGCGTCACTTCAGCAATGTAGACAGTGTGGCATGCGCCACGTCAGCAAGCCAGAAGATAGCTGGTGCCAGAGCAGAGAGGCGCCAGCATGAGAATGCAGCAGTCTCGCATCGCCGTCGCACACTGCCGGCGTCCAGCCAGCGTCAAGCCAGCATCGCACCAGCGTCCAGCCAGCACCAAGCCAGCATCAAGTCAGCATGGCAAGACTGAATGTTGACTCCCCGAGGCAGCGTCAATAAGTAGTGTTGACGGGAGTGACCTGCCTCCGATCCCTCACCCACGGAGGACTCACAGCTGACGGCCTGGATCCCGTACAGTTGCAGACTTCCACTTGGTCCAAATGCTGCCTGGATACCTGCGTACAACCAATGTAGACAGTGTGGCATGCGCATACATGCAGGCTTTGACTCGTGAGGCGCTTTACAGTTGACTTTAGTCAACTGTAGGGCGCAGGGCCCCTGAAGCCACTTTCAGGGGCTCTTTTCCCCTTTCGCAGTGCGGCCTCAGTCTGGTGTCGGGCCTACAAACAACGAGGCATATTGAAGCGGGTTATTGCAATATGCTCAAACGGTGGTCCGGCTAAAAGGTACACATACTGAAAACAAGAGAGGAGGCTCTGAGGCAGCCGAATTTGGGCAATCCCTGGACGCGGGATGCAGCGGACAGAGACAGCAAACATTAACAGCCGAAGACACCAGGCTAGACTGAGGGCAGGAACTGTAGGGGTGAACAAGTGTTAAGGGCCAACCAGATCCACTGGGATAAAAAAGGGCCTAAGTGGCAAGCATCAACAGCTCGTCCGCTCTCCCGGCTACAGCAAGGACGCTAAAAGGGAGGCCAAGAGCGCCAATTGACTTTCGGCTTCCCAGATCGGAGCAGCAGAAGTATCCTGTAGGCATTTGGAATTCATGAAGCCGTTCGCAGGCGAGCTGCAACAAGCCATCAAGAACATAGTCGAGAAGGTGCGGGAGTCTAGTATGGCTGTTGTTGAGGCCAAGAGACACTGCAGACCTTTTTCAGGGATCGGGGGAAGTTGTTCAAAAAAAAATGGCTAATTCCCCCCAAGAGAAGGAACATCCGGAAAGTTGCTGCCAAAGAGGTATGCGCCTCGGGAAATATTGAAATTTGAAAGTGATTGCAGAAGAATCAGATAGGCCAGCCGTCTTATTCGATTTATGTGCCACCCCATCAGAGAACTCACCCTATGTTCCATCCTTTCGCTAACTTGATGTTGTACTCGCCACCAAGATTAGAGGGCCAAAGGAAAGTAGCATGCAATGCCATGCATCCTTCCCAGGGCCTGTAGAAAGAATTGTTGTTGGGCATTAGTTTGTGACGACACCAGGGGTGAGGTCCCACTAGCAAAGAGGATTGGATTGAACGCCTGAATCTGGACGTGTTTCAAACGAAGGTGCGGAAACGCAGTTCGATCTCGATTTTCTGCACCTTTCTACAAACGCGTCAAGATGCAGGCATTCAATCCCATCCTGTTCGCTAGCGGGACCTTGCGCCTGGAAGAAGAGGAAGACCAGGAAAGATCTACAGCCTGGGTGAAATTTCAGCGCTACCCAGATGAAAAGGAAGGGTGAAATTGCAGTTGCGTACACCTGTGACTTAGCATGAATTTAGCTGCACTCTTATTCACTTAAAATTCTGTTCATTCTGGTTGCATCATTGCAGGCATATGGGTCTGAATTTCAAGTTTCGACAGTTCACCAGTGTACCAACTACCGTCTTCACCCAAATAGAACGCCCGGTACCCTCTTCATCCGAAGAAAACACTTAGTTTTTATCGCTGTATTTGTGGGAAATTTCAGTCCAGATGCAGTGATAATCACCACGTGTTCTATTCGCGGGTGAGGACAGTAGCAAACATGTGCAGTGGAATGTAGTATTAGTAAAAATATTGGACTGGAATGCTGAGCCTGCCGGATTCCAGCAGGACCAGGTGCAGCTCCCCATCGATGTCAAGGAGCCATCTACAAACTCA